GAAATAGTGTCGGATAATATTGCTCTTAGATCGTTACTCACACTTGCGTGTGGCTACAACGATGACGTGTACAGCTGCCCATAGAACCTCTCAAACTCATTCAAAATCTCAGGTATCCCGGAAACGATGCTGCCAGACTCGGTCTTCAGGTGCGACAGTTGACTATTTCTGGCTAATAGATCTCTGGCAATGACTTTGGACCTCGATCTTTGCTTCAATATGAGCTGCATGCGTTTGGAGATCTGTCTGTTCAGTAGCCTGTATGCTGTCAAATCTGTTGAAGACTGCAACTTCATTTCCCATGTAACACATGAGATTAAGAGTCTCGCTGGAGAATTTTTATGTTCTTCTGCGACAGGTCTTACAAAACTTACCTTCGACCACATGGACAGTAATCACAAGCTTGTCATTCATATCGTCCACTGTATTGCACTTCTAGGCTCTGAACGGTTTTTTTGTAACTCGAGCTGAAAGTTTTCGAGATTTTGGATTAGAGCACGAGGGAGACGGAGCGTTGACTTCATTAAACAAGACCTCTCCAACTTATAGTTTAGGTTCAGTTTGCCTCTAACCATTCAGTGATCGCTGCCAATTTTCACCCTCGTGATCACTGAAACATCACTGAACAGTTGCCGTCTAGTCATCATAATGAAGTTAATCTCATTTTTTGTCTAACCGTCGGGGCTCGACCAGGTCCACTTTCTGTGGGGCCGCTTCTAGAGAAAAGAATTCATCATAAAGAGTCCGTCTTTCTCCATGATGTCAGCTAGCTGCTGCCCCCTTGGGTTCCGTTGTTCTATTCCAAATTTCCTTACTTTCAGCTCACCGTTCTCTCTTTTGTCCAGTTTTGAGATGAAGTCTCCCATTAACACCGTATAGTAGGTTTTGGATGAAGGCATGACTTTAGAGATATCTTCATACATTTCCTCCATCTCCTCATCGTGATGTGCCGGCGTTGATGCATAAACCTGTAAGATCTTTAACGAATACCGTTTGGTGATTCTGAGTATAAGGTGTGCAACCCTCGTCGACACACTTCCAATCTTTATAACGTTGTTAACGAGATACTTGTGGACGATAAATCCGACACCTCCTTGGGAGAGATGGTCGCCCTCCCGGTGATACAACAAGTTGACGAATTCCAGGATTACCGTGTTCTCCCCTCTCTTCGGACCTTAAATATTCCTATAATATCCCAGCGCAACTTGTCTATCTCTTCTTACAGCTCTAAGATTTTCTTGTCAGTCCTCAGGGTGCTTGCGTTATATGTTGCCAGGTTGAGTCGTCTTAGCTGTCAACCGAACCTCCACCGGAGATTTTAGCACCCCCTGCCGCGCCGTTACCATGGTCGCCACCGTAGCCAGGAATAGCAGGACCGTCGGGGACTAGGGGCCGTCTCTTCGTAACTCTCATCGTGAGGAGTTGTTTGCCATAGTTGCCACACTTGGGAAGCGGGTTGGCAACCGCAGTGTTTTTATTGTATTATTATTGTTATCAGAAAGATGCTGTTGCCCATCTCTAGCCTGTTTCCTTCTTTCGCCTCTTACGATACCCACGGGAAGATATGGGATAGTAGTTATTCTTAATCGCCACTACACGGTACACAAAGACTAAGTCATAGCTATTTAGCGAAGAAATACAGCCAGCATTCTTGGCATACCATGGTGAGTAGGTTGTATGATAATTTTAGTTTTTAGTTTTAGTTTTCCTTGGTTAAGTTAAATAAAAAAAATTGATAAAACGAATCGAATGTTAAATAGAACATTTAAAAAAATTGTCAATTTACCAAAAAAATTTAAAGTTGGCAAGAAATACTTCGCCCACATCCGCTCAATAAAATAAAATGATGTGTCTTACCTAACATTAATATAATGGATATCTGCAAATTAACGCCTGATTCTAATTTTAAAAAAATGACAATAATACTACAATTATTTTTAGTTTTTAGTCCACCTGGTGGTAAGATTTAGATGATGAAGAATCTAAATGCAGATGCGTTATCACCCCTGAGAACTAAGATGAAATGCCTCATATTTAATAAAAACTGTCTCCGGTTCTTTACACTCACCAAACAAAACACAGCAGCATTAAGCTGCCTTTTTACTTTGGTATTCTGTACGAGCATGATCCTTCCCCAATCGAGCCAACCTACTCGTGCTACAATTATAATATACCCGCATCATGACACAACCACGTACATTTTCAGCAAGTGAAGAATTCATTGATTGTTTCTTTTTTAAAATAAGAAGGCATTTAATGGGTGCGTTTGGCAGAAAAAAGCGCTAGCAAGCGCTTGTAAGCAAAATGGCGATCGTAAGCGGTAAGCGCTGTCAAATCGTAAGTAGCTATTTTCCTCTAGGACACGAAGTTAGTTTTAATCGGGAAACTTAACCTAATTTAAATATATGTTTGTAAAGTATTCATATTAAAAACTTACCAATCATGAATTTTTAATAACATGTATATGTCTATTCATATCATTATATTACTTAAAACTAATATTGCACAAAACAACTTATAAACTCTACTTCAAAACAAACAAATTAAATAAGCAAAATGGCGAATTGTGTCAGCGCTACTGAAGTTAGCAAACGTGTCCTGGCCGAAAACTGTTTAGTTTCGCCATTTTGCTTACAAGCGCTTGCTTGCGCTTTTTTCTGCCAAACGCACCCAATGTTACCCTTAAAGCAAAAGAAAGCAATAGTCATCTGTAAGGGTGTGCGAAAGGGACAGCAAACCACAAAATTAAGGTAGAGAAGAAACGCGGGCAAAAATGATTGCGTTTTTCTCTATCGGGCGGGTCCTATCTGCACGATCCGATTTCATGAGCAAAAGACAGTCAATGTTGAGTAGTATTTACGCTTACTAGCGCTTTTTTCTGCCAAACGCACCCAATATCTCAAAACTTTGATTTTACGAAATGGCTTGCTATTTGATGTCAAAAAGAACAATATACTTAACCCTTTACTACGCTAAAAACAAAGTAATTAATCACTTTAAAACAGCACTTACATATAGTGCTCCCAACAACCATCGGTATAGGTTTGACATGGAAATTACACTGCTCAATAAAAGGCAGGCAAATTCTTCCTTAAAATGTTTTTAACATTTTGTATCCGATTACTGTATTAAATTTTATAATATACTCTGAAAAGATTTTCTACCTACATTTTATTATCTTTAATCTAAATTTAGGAACTTCTCATCAACTATCATCGTTACATGACGTATCATAGCGACCCGTTCAACAGAAGGAAATAGTTTTTTATTTAATAAATTTAAACTTGAGGTTTTTAAATTAAAATTAAAATTCATTTATTTCAGACAACAAACGTCCATGAGTTACATTAATGCTTAAAAACTAAGTGTTAGTATTTTGAAAACAAATTTCGTTTTCATACGTTTCTTATGTTTCTTCAGTTTACCGTGACCATGGGTGCTGGAAAGCAACCGAAACGTCGGGAATTAAAATCAAGTAAATTAAACGCGATAAAATCCGTAAAAGTAGTTTTATTCAACGACTGATGTGTCAAAATATTACTCTTCTTGGAAAAGTAGGTAAAGGTTGCGACTAGCGAAACCATAGTGGTAAATTATAGGTTTCTCCTATGGCTTGCTTTTGCGAAATTAACATTGTTTCCAGTTTAGCTGCAGATTTCCACGGTATTAGAATAATAATTGACGGATCCATTTTACTTTTAATTTTACTTTTAACTACCTTAGCAATGAGTTATAGCGCTGAGGGCCGCGGGTTAGAATCCCGCACGGAACAAGTATTTGTATGGCCTACAAGTAACTTTTCCTCCACGACACAGGAGAGATAAATGAGGTTCCGTATAACACGAGAACTTATTGAGGATAATTTTTTTTAAAGGATAATTGTGACAAGTGAGCACACAGTCCATCCGATGATAAGTGGTTGCTGTGGCCCATAGACATCTACATAATTCCTCGATTACGAATCAAAATGCAGATACGTTGTCACCCGTGAGGACTAAGATGGAGTGCCTTGTTTCCAGTAAAAAGTGTCTCCGGTTCTCTACACTCACCATACGAAATAGAGCAACGTGAGGCTGCTATTTTACGCTGGTATTCTGTGAGAGCATAGTCCCTCCCCGGCCGCCGTAATACAAACTATATTACTTTTTTTTTTCAATATTCTTCTGCAACAATATTCCCAAACATATTTAAGTTATGAGTGCAGTTATGGTGTCAAGTGTCATGTTACAAAATGTCAGTCGATAAGTTTATCGCAACTTCCTGTAGATGGTGTCCCGTCCGCGGCAGGAAATTAAGCGCGCGTGCGTGAAATGATGGAAGAGGGTGGATTGAAATCTAAATGCCTGAATGAAATATAGTTTTTAACTTCTCATTTTGGATGATTTTGTAATAGTTCCGATATTAAAAAGAGCTCCGATATTAAAAAGTCAAATTACAAAAATATCTAATACGTTTTGAGGTGTATAGAAAACGTTGCTATTCCTTTATGGATGTTCATTAGTGGATAAGAAATGATGTTAATCATCTTCAAACTAATTTTATTCGGTGCTTAATTGCATTGTTATTGCCAACCAAGTGGAAAGTTGAAAGTTAGACAGACCGACCCGTGTATATGGCAAGAGGCAAAAAAAGGTAAATGAAAAAAACATGTATGCAGTTCACAAGCGTTAAAAAAACCTTCAGAAAAGGAGACCGAGATTACAAAACACTGTATACTGTATTCTATCTCATTCTATTGCAGGCTAATCCTATAGATGTTTGTCTCTTTTTAGTGTCGTTTTATCTTTTGATTGAGATTCAAATCTCAAAGATTCTAAAGAAGTTTTCACTTCAATGGTATTAGGTTGCGGTTGCCAATTTACATACCAAGCGTGGACACTATGACAAATATAACCCCTGTGAGGCAATCGATAGGGAGGCGTATGTTCAGCGGCAAACTTTAGACGGGATGTAAGGAATGAATGAAGCATATATTTATTAGTATATATAATTATACTTACAGTCATAATATAAATTGCCGACAGCTGACGTCAGCTTAGGAGTGCCTTGGCCGGACAGCGATGCCATTCTCTCTCCCTGTACAGAAGAAAAAAATGTATTATTTTCCATTCACTTTTTTATTACAAGATTAAATGACGACTGGATTGGTATATTTTGTATTCTAGTACAACATTTGCGATTGCATCCTTTTTACATAAACATTCAAAACCGAACAATGAAATTATATTTTTCCATACATCTACATAATACCTATACATTAATTTAAAACATTGCTAAGTGTATATTTAAACGAAAACTGCAATCGTTAAATACATTTAATAAAACTCATTTTTAAACCTCATTTTAATGCTGGTAAAGATCTTTAAGAGCCTTTCTTTTCTTCTTTAAGTACATGATTTCCGACGGCATCAATTAATTTGTAATTATATGCGCTAATTTACCACGTGCATGGCGGTGAAGTAAAATGTCGTGAGGAAACCTGGATGTGTGAGGAATAAAATATTTCAAGGTCAACACGTCAACACGCATTGTAGCAACGCGGCAGATTAATTGTTCCATAACACTATTAGAAATGAGACGAGGCCTGTGTCCAGCCGTGGGACGAATATTAACTATAACATTTCTTAATTCCTCCAACAAATTTATTATTAAATTTAGTCCTTAGATAGGCAAAACATAAGAAAAGCGAGGCGTTTGTTACTTATTTAAGAAAACAACAAATTATTACTATTTAAGACAATTGAAGAAACGAAAAAAATATTACTTTTAACAGTGATATTGATTAATTAAAACAAAGCTAAGCGACCATGCAGAACAAAGAAGAATGAAGCGAAAAACCAATATGGCTACCAAGATGGCGCCAGAAAATGGCGACTAAAATGGAGTTGTGAACGAACCAACTGGATATGTTCAGCAATTTGCTTGCAGTACGAAAAAAAGCCGTCCAGAGTTAGCTTTGACATTTTAGCTAACTTCTAGTTTGGTTATTTCTAGTCTGTAAAAAGAAAAAATATATGTTAATTTAACAGATACTTGTCTGTTCATTAGAAAAAAAATTCTTTGATTCAGAACGGCTAAACAACGGCAAAATAAGATCTTAAGTCAAACAAAAATAATCTAATAGAACTGGTCATAACAATTCAGGATACGAAAAAATTGTAACAAAGAGTTTCGTGCGCAGATGTACCGCAAATGCGCTAAAGAATCCACATTTTCGGATCATATGTATGCATATATATTATAAACATAAATATATATGAAATAACATATATCTAGTTATATGAAAAACATAAATATATATCTAGAAACATCTAAAAATAACATACAGAACATAAATACATAGATACCCACCTTATATGAACAGTCGCTTTAAAACGATATACTTAAATACAAATATACAGTTATATCTAAGATAGTTTGATTTATATTAATCACTACTTATATGATATATTTTTTGTGGAGAAACAAATGACTATGTGGGAAAAGGGATCGTTGACGAAACAATGAGATACCGAACTATGTTCGCGGATTGTGGAATTTTTATATATGTTTAACATATATGAAAGGGGTACTAGAGTTTTAAAAGGTATTTTGCAGCTTTAGAAGCTGGTGCCACGTCCCCAATCGAGTTGGAGCCAGACTGAAAGTACCAAGGCAAGCAAGGCTTTCAGGGGTTCTACTCGGCGCAGGCGCGTTGCAAAGGTCGTAAGGTAAACGGGGCTGAAATCGGGTCGGTGGAGCCTGGTCAATAAGCGGGAAACGGGTCACCCCCACCCGAACCGCACTTACTACCGAATTTAGGGATCGGTACATAAGTGTGTAATATACATTCAAGACAATGAAAAACGTAGATTTGTTATTGTAAACAAATTTCACGTTGAGGTATTGTATTCAGTCGAGGATAATCCATTTTCGAACGTTTGACTTGACGTATCACTACGTATTTTTCTTATTTTTTTACTCATTACAGTCCTTCATAAGTCCACTGCTAATATGATGAATATAGTACTTTGATTTGGTTGAAACCAATCATGCCAGCATCGAGCACAGGCGGAGAGTAGAAAAGTTCTTGGCGTTCTATAGGATGCATTTCGGAGATTGTGCTCAGGAATTACATTACATGCTTAATTCAGTCGCCGGGTTTTCACACCTTTCGCGTTTGCTTCATCTTTTGTAACGTGTATAACAAAGGAGTGGAATAAGTTCAATCTGGACATCTTCAAGGCAAGAGTGCATAGGCTTTTGTTACGCTAAGACAGTTTGATTTACCATCTTGGGCTTCATCATCACTTACCACTATGTGAGATTGTGGTCAAGTAATAAGTAAAAGTAAAAGAACGTTTAAATTCCAACTAACTACATAAATGGTGCCGGAACTATAAATGAATTTAGTTAATAAAGTTATAATCTATATGCATAATGATATTTATAATGTTTTCGGTTCTTCAAGCTATATGGCCAGCCCATTACCACCACCACACTCCAGCTCACTAACAAGAAATTATAAAAACCTAAATTTCGTCCGTTAATATATATCTAGAACATAGGTACATTGTTCCAGCTACAAAAAAAGAATAACACTGTAAGCATTTGAGCCTGAGCCTTTCGACTTCATGTATAGGCAGGACCACGCTTGCACGGAATTCGAGCGTGAAACAGCAGTATGATGCCAAATCTGTTTGTATATACATACTCTCCTTCCGCTATGCGTAACTTAGACTCACATACTTGAGGAATAAGATGGAATGCCTTGTCGTCTCTAGCAATAACGGGTCATTTCACTGCAGTTCTAAGGGATAGCAACTCATCAATATTTTTGATTCATAATTGGAGTCAAATGTAGGTGACCTTGGAGTGGTGGTGTAAAAACTATCCATATGGATCTCGTGGGTGTCGTAAGGTAAGAGAAGGTAACAAACCAGGAGATTGGAAACAGCTCATTTCTACGATCAACCAAAAATTAAAATCTTCGATTGCCGACCCGCCTGTAAAGCGTGGCAATTATTGCAAATATCCCTCCTACAAGACAATTTGTGGTGGAGGTCTATGTTCAGAAGTGGACTTTAGATAGGCTGTGTTTATAGGCTACAATGCCCTCTTACCATTAATTGAATACCAGCGTAAAATAGCAGCTTAATGCTGCTATTATGCTGTGTATCGTATGGTGAGTTTAGAAAACCGAAGACCCTTTTTACTGGAAAAGAGGCGTTCCATATTAATCCTTGCGGCTGACAACGCATCTGCGTTTTGATTCGCAAACGAGGGTAGATGTTGATGTCTATGGGCCACTGCAACTACTTACCATCAGGTGGACTGTGTGCTCGTTTGTCAACCTTATCCTACAAAAAAAAAATTATACTTTGTGCTTTTTGTTGAGCCTACACGCCTCGGTAGCATAGTGGCTAAGCATTTTGCTGCAACGCTGCGGGCCACAGGTTCGTATTCCATACGGAACAAATATTTATATGGCCTACAAATATCTGTCTGTCTGTCTTTGTATAAACGCCTCTACGATACAGGAGAAAATATCTTGTGTATCGCTTGAATGAATGAACATTTATAACTTACTAAGCGTAGTGATTTTAGTGTTTAGTCTAGGGGCCGCTTAGTACGAATTTAATAACTATGAGAGCACTATTGAGAGCACTTTCATAGCTTTCACACAGATGAGCTCGTTAAACTGTTTAATTAAAAGTAGCCATTGCTGTTAATGGAGACCTGCAACTAACTCCAAACAGAAAGTTACAGCTGTGTCTTAGAAGGCTGAAGTGATTTGCCTCAAAACCTGCGGTTATACTGTCTTTCTTACTGTTTAGTCTGTAGTCAACCACGGTGAGCCTAAATAAAACCAACCATGGGTGTTGACTTACAATAAAATAAAATAAACTTTTTTTAAGAGGGAATTGTGACAATTTCGTATAATTTCATTAGTAGTAGTAGTAATGTGCGGATTTAGTTTGCCATTTTAAAAAATATTTGCCTATTCGAGTCTGTTGGAATATGTTTCAGTAAATTATGAAATAAGTAGAACCTTTGTACAAACTCACTGAGTGAATGTTACTGTCTCGTTGACTGTATAAAATAAATATAAAAAATAGGAGCACATAGTCCACCTAGTGGTAAGTGAATGCTGTGGCCCATAAAAACGATACAATTAGTAATAATAGTTTATTTCAATAGTAGTAAGTAGTTCCAAATCTAAAATCTTGAAACCTTTAATAATCTTTATACGTGATAGATCCACGCTGTAGCTATATTATGGTTGTAGCACGAATGGGTCGGTTTGACTGCCGAAAGACCACGCTCTCTTCTTTTTTATATGAGTGGGAGAAACGAGCATGCGGTTCACCTGACGGCAAGTGACTGCTGCCGCCTATGTACAACTGCTGCACCAGGGGGATTACAGATGCGTCACCGGTTTTTAAAAAGAGTAGGCTCTTTTCTTGAAGGTCCCTAACTCGTATTGATCCGGTAAAATTGCTGGTGGTAGTCTATTCCACAAGGAAGTTGTGCGAGGAACAAAAACTCCTTTTAAATCGTACGGTGGTGGACTACCAGTCATCCAGATGGTATCGATAGTATCGCGAGCGATGTGCGATGGTGAAATTGAGCGACTGGAATTAATCCAAACAATTCCTCAGAGCACTTCCCGTGGTAGATGCGATGAAATACGTAAAGATATGCACCATTTCTCCGCAGTCCAAGTGAGTCAAGCCGATTAGAAAGAGCACGGTCACCGACGATGCGAACCACTCTGTGCAATCATCGAAAAAGCTGGCACTGGGGAGCCCCAGCCCAGTGATAGGAACAGTTCCATGTGAGGCCAAACCTGCCCCTTGTAAAGTAGTTTAGAAACTAAACAACTTAACTTTTTTACAAATCAAAATGTAGGTGCGTTGTCACCCGTGAGGACTAAGATGGAATACCTCGTTTCCAGTAAAAAAGGTCTCCGGTTCTCTACACTCACCATACGAAACACAACAGCATTAAGCTACTATTTTACGCTACTATTCTGTGAGAGCGTGGTCCTTCCCCTGGTCGAGCAAGCAAGCGGTGTGCCGGCCAGA